TTCTCTGCATTTAACCTAGAAAGACGTACATACGTACTGAAAGATTTCTGCTCAGTCACGGTGGATTCTTTCAAGGTTAAATCCCAAGACTCCGTGGGAATGTATTATTCTCTCTGCAGGGAAAAAAAAATCTTTTACCAACAGCACACCACTGCTAACTATTTTTGCTGGGGCAGAGTGATTGCATAATGGTCACCAGTTACAACATGCTTACAATTTATCGGGGTGTCTAGGCTGTAAGATTGTTGGCGGGGTTGAGATTATTCTTTTTATGCTTTGCTCTGCTAGTGGTTACTGAGAAATAAGATCAGCTACGGTTTTCCAGCGTTTGTCTTCAGTCCTGTACAAATACATGTCAAATAGTATCGGACAAAGTTAGCTTTCGTAAAAGGGGAAGGAACGAGGAGCTCTGTATTTTTTCCGGTAATTATCACTAGTGAGTATTTGTGTTCTTAACAGCAAAAGTGCCGGTTATGTTGGGAACTGGCAGATCTTGTACAAACCAGAAGGGTAGTCACTGTGTAAACAGTTAGAGGCCAAGATTTTTCATAGTGACCTTGCGTTGACCTCAGCCTTGAGGTAGAAACCCCTTTACTAGAGATAAAACATTAATGCCTTCCTGTCTGTCCAGGACAGATGGCCTATGATATGGCAGTAAATTCAATGTGCCCAAGGCCATTCTCTGGCAATGAGGCCAGCCGACACAGAATAGCACAAATCCCTTCCTTTAAACTACCTTTAAACTACCTTATCCTTCAAAACAAGATGGCCAAATGCAAACCGATAATGGAGAAGGGTCGGAAAGGGTCTCAAGGGTCCCATCCCATGATTTTGCACGGGCCAAAATTGGGCTGAGGCAGCCCTGGCATGGTGTCAGTGTAGATGGATGGATCTAGTGCCCAGCAGCAATCCCCAGCTCTCTTTAATTTAATAGTATAGAAATAGCAAGAGTTTTTGTTGTTGTTTTTTTTCTGGTGCTCTCTGTGCTTTCTGGGAAGTAAATCTAACCATTGAACACTCATTTCACTTAGAAAACTTGAAAGAAATACGAATAGTTACCTTTTAAAGGAAAGTAAGTAGTCCCCACAAAAGCATCTGAGCAAGTCAAGTCATATTCATACATTTTCCCAGCACAACCACCATAGTCCTTTCACAGCTTCATCCTTTCCCTGCAACTTTTTTTTTTAATTCTCAAAATAAAAAAAAGATGAAAATCATACAATTCAGCCCAAATATTCTCAGCTGACCTGACTATATGGAGGGCACTCCACTTAGGACTGTTTTGATCCTGAGCCAAGACGGCAAGAGGATTGCATGCATTTATGGTAAATCAATGAGCTGTAAGTGCTACAGAAAGTTAGCAAGGCTTAATTAGTCCTGCAAAATACCTTTGCTGACTAACTGAACAAGTCAGCACTAAAATATTTTTCCTGAAAGATCATCTGCAGGAGCTGAAAACACAACAACACGTACTTGCTGCAAACAAAAACCCACGGAAATGAACATCTTTGTGACAGATAACTGTAAAAAAAAGATCAAAAAATGGTTGAAAAATAGTTGAAAAACCAGAAAGGTTTTTCCAACAGATGCAGAAAAAAGCTAAGGGGAAGCAGCGCCATCCGATCCAGGTAATTCCCGAAACCTGCAAATCTAACAGAAAGATATTGTGAAAACAACAGCTATATCTGTAGCATTCGTAGGGGCACTTCTCCCTGTGACAGGAGATCATCATCATTAGAGTGCTAAAGCAAACACAGTTTAATCCATGCAAAACTGAGACGTTCCCTTAGGAACATGCAGACATCACCATAACCTTTTTAATCCAAAAAAAAGAAAAATGCTAGATATGTTGGACAGATCTCAATATGAAATGCTACCTTCCAGAGCTCAGACATCATCAGTGCTTGAGAGCCTGATGATGATAGCCTAGATGGCCAGTATTTGGGCTACGAGGACTTGCAGTATGACCCAGTATGGCAGATCTTAATAGCTTCCCTTTCTGGTGTGCAACTTAAATCTCCCTTGCGGAGATTCCTTTCCTTTTCAACCTGTCCACAGTAGCCAGGAAGAACAAGTTGACTTTCCCTTTTGATTGTTACTTTTAGACCTTTGAAGGCTTGTACCTCTGATCAGACTCTTCTCAAAAGTGACATCCCTCATTTCTGGCCATTCTCATTCTCCTTTAGACGCACTCTCTCATTCTCCTTTAGACGCACTCTAACGGGTCACATCTTGAAGTGTAATGTCCAAAATCAGGCACAGCACGGAGCCGAGTTCTTCCCATTGGTCAGGAGAGAAGAATCGTTACTTCACTTGTTGCAGACTCTGCTTATGTCATATCCCAGCACGATGGTTGATGTTTTCACAAAAGCTTGACATTGCTGACATTGTTCAGTCTGATCCATGATAAACCCGTACAGAGCTGCAACATAACCAGTACTTGGGTGGTTTATTGTCCTTACCTACATATCACACTTTGCGTTTGTGCTGGTTTTTTCCCAGTGCTTGTTGCCAATTTGTGAAGATGATTTAGCATTGTAATACCAACTTCCAATGCACTTCCAGACTGTTCCAATTTGGTAAAAGCTGTATATTTTTAAGCATAAATATTCTACTTTGTTATGTAAGTAAGCTACTCATTAATGTACTGAAAATAATGGATGGGGAACGGCTGAATGGGAATCCCCTCTCAGTAAATGCTTTGAGTTTGATAGTGAAGCATTGATAGCTCTTCTCCAAACACTGTCTTCCAGGTAGGTTTGTTCCTACTTCACAGTCATTTAGTGGACAACACATCTTCCTCACTTATAGTCAAGAAGGTTGTGTAAAACATAGTCAGAGGCACACTAAAGTCAAGATAGGTGGCATCCATAGCTACTCTCTTACTGTCCTATCATAGAAGGAATTCAGTTGTTTTGCCTTGAATTATTGGCAATTACTCATCTCTTTGTTTTAAGTCATTACAGTTTGTTGTATCTTTTTTTTTTTTGAGTATCATTCCGTAAGTTTGAAAATAAGCTAACCACCTATCCTCCGCAAACAAGCTGAGCTAACCTCGGATCTCGTATTTTCTCCCCTTTGCAAAGCAGATGGGAATATTTATGCAGTGTGACATACAAAATAAATCAAGCTGGTCTTGCATTTTAGGCAAAGAACCTCTTTTTGCATACATGCATAGACACACCTTAAAACCCAAAGGTTTTACAATTTTTTGTGATAGACAGCTATTTCAAGCAGATGATATCAGCCATAAGCAGTTGTTTCCTCTTTGTCTGTACAGCATGTTTTTGTAGATGAACTCCGAAGTATCACATCCTACAAGTCCAAAGCTTGGGAAGAAAACAAATAAGGGTTGATCAAATCAGTAGCTGAAGATGAAAGAATTATATTAAAAACTATGTATCAGTGGTTAACTAGAAGCCTCCTGGCGTAAACACTTTCTCCCATAAGGCCCTTAGTCTTCCCTTTTGGCAGTATGTCCTTTTTCTAAGGTAAAACTAACAATTCAAACATCTCCTCAGCAAAATAAATAAATAAATAAATAAATAAATAAACTCTCTAAGATCCATCATGAAGTTGAGCTTCAACTACATTACTACTTTTAAAAAGCGTCATGATTTCAAGCAGATGTCGATGTAAGTTAAACTTTTTATTACTAACTGGGCATTAACATCTCTTACCAAATCTTAGAGCAACTCTGCAAGTTAAAAAAAAATCCAATGGCTATGGATTCCTTATGGCTATGTGGAAGCTGGAGTCCCAAGGCAGTCTCATTTTCATATTTACCATGTATTTCACATTTATCGTATGTCATACATTTATCAGGTATCTCACATTTGTGGTAGATATACTATCTTTGATATTATTTAAGGTAAAATACTACTTGAGTTCTAGATCTAGGGTAACCTGCACAAAATTATAAGAACGACAATAATCCCTCTGCTGCACGTGCTTTATAAAATGGCTGCCTGCCACCACTGTGCTAACAGGAGTCCAAAGTATTGCTCACCTGGTTTTCAATCATTTCTCCAAAAAAAGCCTTCTTCTCGTTTGAACTGTATATTCACCATTATCCATTATAACCAACAGCTTAACCATCAAACAGCTGGTTATCGATAAAACTACTCAGTGTAGTTGTGAAGACTGGGATTAGAGAAAATCACTGTAAAGATATTTGTACACCCTCATCATCAGGTAGGTACCACGCACTGTTGTTTTCCGGGATTTGGCCCAGAATTTCTGACCTATTTTTGCTGTGTACACCAAATCTGTGTACGTGGCCTGGATGTATGTAATACACAGAATACGCATGCTAAGGAAGGCGTTTCTCACGTGTACTATCATGCCAATATGGGTGCTTACATATAAGTAAGTCTGAAGAGTGTAGTGATCGCTTCCAGTAAGTCGAAAGCCTTTGTCTTCAGTTTGTGTCCTCTCTGCTATTTTCAACTAAATATTACTCTAACGCAGCAAAACTTTGTGTAAAGAGAAACTAAATTGCCGGTGGCTTTAGAAATGTCTTTTCTGTCAAGGAAGTAATGTGAGGACAACTAATTCCAGATGATAACATTATTGGAATCTGATAAAATGCTTGAGTAGACGGTTGTACGGATTTATCAAGTGAAGCATGCATCTTAAATGCATTAGAAAATGATCATCTCACACTGATTAAGGACGTAACGTTTCTTTCTATTGAGATGTGCTTTACATCTGTGAGGCTGTGATGTGTCTTGCAAATGGCTTCAGTATTTCACAGACAAATTATATGTTTCTCACTTCTGCATGTTCTGTCACTAAGTGAGAGGATATGCTAGAGAACTTAGAAGGCTCTAAAAAAATTTTCACCGGTTTTCTTTCCTAAACAGCCTCTTCTTTGTAAACTGACCTTTTTCAAGGGCCTTCATATATTTTGGGATGTTTCTCTTCTATTCCGTTAGTAAGTTATGACACAGTCAGACAGACATGAAGAAACTTCAGCCCTGTGAACACTTGCCACTAGAGACATGCAATCCCTGGCAGGAGCGCTTAATCGCATTCCTCAGTCAGGTGTCAAACACAGCAAAGGCACAAACACACAAGCAAGTTTTGTTTAGAGGACCTCAAAAAACCAGCCAAGTGGCAAATTTGGACATCTGTGCTAGACTGTGGCTGTCCTGTTTTTTCAGTCTAATCTGTCAAGATAACCATTTCCCCATTCTCTTAAACAAACACAGACTTCCTTGTTTAAACACTATAACAGTTCTAACAGAGCACACAGTTTTTAATCATTCTCTGCTAAGTACACTAGCAAGAGCCTGAGAAAAGAAGCAAAACATCTTACATGTAAGCTGCTGATTTTGCTGCGTGCAAAAGAACGGGGCATGCAACCCTCAAATTTTAGATGGACTGTAAATAGTGCCTGTAAGAAAAAGTCCAGCTAAAAAAGAGATGAGCTCTCTTTTGGCCTCTTAATTAACAGAGCAGCTGAATTCAGTTTTACTCCAGAAGAATAATTAGAATAATGAATGTGGGGAATTCATTTTTCTTTTCCTATAGGCTGTCCCTTCTCAAAGATTTCCTCTACTACTCAGATTATCCTAACGTAGCATTAGTAACAGATTTTCCATGCGATGAGTAGTAGAATCATAAAATATAGCTGAACAGTAGTCTGTAGGTAGTCATTGCATTTTAATACCAAAATTTAGAAAGATAAGCCTGCTGCAGAAAGACCATTAAATATAGACACATAAATAAATCCAATTAAAATCACTGATCTATTTTTGCTGAATATTGACTTTCCTTTTTGCTCTCTTCAGTCTTTTTCCCCTCCTTTTCTTTCCTATTATCTCCGATTCATTCTGCCTACTTCTATATTATTTATCTTTGATTTTTTTCTTGCTTTACACATTATTCTCTCACCTTTCTCTTCTGTAACTACTTGTTCCTTTTATCTCTGAAAGGAGTGTTTCTTTTCTGTTCATTCTTTATTGTTTTTATAGGTGGTACGCTATATTGATCCTCTCATTCTCTCTCCTTTTCCTATGTTCTTCCTCTTTTTTCTTTTGTCTATTTCTTTTCATTGATTTCTATTGTCTCTTTCTTGCTCTCCACCACCACATTCTTCCTTCTTTATCCTTTATCCCCAAAGTCATCGTCTTCTTGCCTTGATTCCTTCCCTTCAGCTGTTTCTTGGAATGGGATTTTCCCATATCTTAGTCTTGCATCTTTTCCTGATTCACCATATGGTATCTCCTATCCTCTCATTTCTCATGGGGTCTTCCTTCCTGTCCTGCTCTAGGGAATATATTCCTATTGATGGGAATGCTACTTTCCCATTTTGCTCTTTCACCTCTGTGCTTTGTTTATATTACAGACCTGGCTAAGTCGTAACATGTGCTTGGAAATCACTCTACCCAGGGTTTGGATCTTGAGCTTTTCCACACAAAGAACCTGATTATTTTCCACCTGCAGGTTGCCTGGGTGTACTCCTAGGGTAGGGATTCTTTGTTGGGAACCTCCTTCCCCCCGGGGATGGGGGACTCGGCAAGGTCAGCCCAGAAGCTCTCCTTCATAAAGTTTCCAAGATAGTTTATGCAGACTTCCCAGAGCTCCTCTTTCATGGCACTCTGGTCTAAACTGTTTCTCATTGGAAACCACAGTTAAAGAATACACAAGGTCTTCAGCGGAATTTTTCATGCAACTTATTCTTGGACAATACAGGAACTACACAGATCCATGCATAAATAATAACATTTAGATGCTGTATCACAACAAGAGTTTATTCTCACCTCTGCAGTGATTCTTTTGATCCAATCTATGATTGAGGCAGCTATAGTCCTTTTCTCTTCTTTGTTACTCTTCTAGTTTCCAAGGATGGTTCGTTAGTGACGGAGGGAAAAA